CCTGCCTACCATTTTTCTTCTCACCTTGACACAGAGAGTACTCCATCTTTCTGTGTTATACCCCTGAGGATGCCAGTCACAGCTGCTGGCGAAACCTCAGGTCCTACAATGCCAAGACCACGACCATACAGCCTGGAGAATCTACAACAACTAATGAACTCTGGCCGTGAAAGCCTTCGAAAACATAATGATGAAATAAACAGTGTAAGACATGCTGCAAACGATGCACCGCTGGATGACAACAATTTAAAACTGATGTACTACAAACTGGGTAGGATAATGCATACAGGGAGCGGCGCAATAAACTACAGCCCTGTTCTCTGTATGAAAACCCTCTTCTGCCTAGTTCCATTCACGACAGCCCTTTCCCCCTGAACCCTGAAGAAGCCACAGGAAACGAGTTCAAGCCCAATTTATCCCGGGGACAATGGGCACTGGATCGTCTGTGTCCCTCCCGTCCCCCCCAAGCTTGGCACCCTTGGACATGGCCCTCGTGAGAGAGTCTGTGAGAGAAGGGTGCCATTCCTTGCCATTCCCATGTCCCACTTTTTGCCAGAAGCGAGTCAGTACAGGAGTTTTAGGGAAATTTTAGCAATAAACTGTGTCTTTACTGACCAGAAGAAACACGGTGGGCTCAACTAAAACAGGAGTCTTGTGGCACATTCAAGACTAACAACACCTTGTTCCAGTATCAGCTTTCACGGACTCAGAAGTTCCGGTCCACAAAAGATTCTGCACGGATAAAGCTCTGTTAGTCTTGAAGGGACCACAAGACTCCTGTTTATTTCTGATTCAGCAGATGAGCATGGCTACTTCTCTGGAATTATTATTGTAGTAGGCCAAGACTACCGGACTTGAGTCATGATGGTCTGACCTGGCAGAGAGAGGGAGAGAGGCTCCAAAGGCAGGGAAGGCCAGAAGCAGATGGCGGCTAACTAAGCCCAGACGTCAGAGGCTCACAGCCAGCTCAGGCAGAGGCTAGGGAAGGAGCTGTCCTTCGAGACCAAAAGACACAGCCTGGGAATGAAAGGATTGCGATTGTTGATCCTCCAGTAAGGGAGAAAGCATGCTCCGTGGATGAATGCAGGACAAAGAAAGTGTGCCCCCAACACTGAGGCAGAGTTGCCAGTCTCCAGGGGGCACCTGGAGATCTCCCGCTATTACAGGTTGATCTCCAGACGACCAAGATCGGTTCTCCTTGAGAAAATGGCTACTTTGGAGGGTCAGCTCTACGGCATTATACCCTGCTGAGGTCCCTTCTCCTCCTCAAATTCTGCCCTCCCCTGGCTGCACCCTCAAAAACTCCTGGTATTTCCCATCCCGGAGCTAGCAATTCTAAATTGAGTGGATGCCTCCAGTGAATGCTGGATTAGACCCAGTTTTCCCTGTAACAGACTCTCACGGATCTCAGAGGGAACGTTCTAGAAACGAAGGGCTGAGGGGAAAGGAAATGGAAACTCCAAGGCCTGTCTTCAGTAAGGTCTCTTGATTCCAATGGCAAAGATTTACCCCAGGCTGATTTTCTCCTCTGCTTGCTTCTCCGCACCCTTAGCTAATCTCTTGAACGTGATTTACCTGGTGATCCAAACTTTCAACTGGCTGCACAGAAATCTTATACCTCCGCAGTATATTCTTGCAGCAGCTGAAGGCTGTTGTGAGGGGTCCACCCTTAATTTCTGCACATTAACGTTTTAAAGATGGTTGGTGGGATTCAGGTCTGTCTAGAATCCATATCCTCTGACCCTGGACCCTAATCCCAAATGCAAACCGCCACGTACAGAGGTAGCGTATCTTTAAATAGCAGATACTGGAGATAAACAACGGGGGGGGGGGGCCTCAGGTTCCTGGTCTATCAGTGGGATCCCAGGAACGGCTGTTTGACTAGACCAGACGTCTGCAGACGATGGCTCCAGGGCCAAATGTGTCTCAGTATAGATCCAGATAGGTCTCTTTGGAAAAAAAGAAAAAGGTACATTGGAGGGGTAGTTGGGAGCAGTGTTCCCTCTAAGCTGAGTTAGTGTGAGTTAGCGCACGGTTTTTTAGCCTCCGGCTCACACATTTTTGTCTTAGTGCGGGAAATTGGCTCCAGAGCAAACTAACTGATGCAGCAGCCAAATCGCTCGCTCACAACTTTAATGCCGGTAGCTCACAAAGTAGAATTGTTGCTCACAAGACCCCACAGTTTAGAGGGAGCATTGGCTGGGAGGCTACAATAACTAGTATGTGGATGACCCAAGTTAGTCCGGTCTCATCAGATCCCAGAAGCTAAGCAGAATCAGCCCTTGTTCGTATTTGGATGGGAGACCACTAAGGAAGTCCGCAGAGGCCGGCCAAGGCAAACCGCTTCTGTTCGTCTCTTTGAAAACCCTACGGGGTTGCCGTAAGCCGCCTGTGACACGATGGTACTTCCCACCACCAAAGGGAATGCAGGCAGCAGTTTTTATAGAACTTTAAAGATGCTTTACAGGAACGGAAATGACAGAGGAGACCAGCTGCCAGTCATCCAAGCGTGAACCATGCACATATTTATGCCAGCACACTAACACAACCACACAGGGTGATCCTGCATATATTTATTGTGAGACCTCGCACGTGCCACTTGAGAGCCAGTCTGGTGTAGTGGTTAGGAGCGTGGACTCTAATCTGGGAGAACCGAGTTTGATTCCCCACTCCTCCACATGGAGCTGCTGGAGTGACCTTGGGACAGTCATGGTTCTCTCAGAGCTGTTCTCTCATGAGCAGTTCTCGAAAGAGCTCTCTCAGCCCCACCTACCTCACAGGGTGTCTGTTGTGGGGAGGGGAAGGGAAAGGAGATTGTAAACCACTCTGAGACTCCACGTGAAGGATGGGGTATAAATCCAATCTCTTCTTTCTTCTTAATAAATTACTCTCAACAGCCAGTGTTTGGGCTGCGGAAGCTTTATGGGTTATTATCCAACATGTCAATTATGGGTAATGTAATGATGCATGTTTTCAATTCTTAAATGGACTTGCTTATACCAGCTCTTTGTTCCCTTGTATTGAATTTTGACATACGTTGTTTCTTTGACGTACGTTGTCTAACTACAAAAGGTTGCTGCCCAATCTCGGTCCATCCAGCAGGGCAAGGCAAGACAATTCGTACATCCTTGTACAGCAAAGCCCAGCTCTGATTAAGCCCCGCACACACACCCCTTTGCCGGAACCAGTCAGGCTTGCTCAAAAATTTTGCAGTGAAGGTGCTGCGGAGCTTCCCCAACGCTGTGCCCCTGGCTGTAGTGAAACCAACACACCCAAGAGGGGGAAAGTCTCTGGATTCCATTCCTCTTGGACACACCCTGGATGGGACAGCTGTTCCAAAGACAGGGACGAATTAAGAGCCACCGGGAAACGGGGCTGGCAACCATTTTAGCGTCACTCTGGAGCAATGCCATCGTGTTCTGATTTCCTGGCTCCCTTGCCGGCTCTAATCCATTCAGCCCTCCCCCCCAAACAAACAGCAGCCCTCTGGCACCAAGCCCAGTATCTGTAAGCAAGAGAAGTATTTGGGTCTCGGAAGAGAACGGCAGGTGGGTGAGGTTCCCTGGGGGTGACTCAGCCCGGGCCCTTTTCTGTTCCATTTTGTCGCTCTCTGTTCTTCCTCCGTAATTATACCCACTCTGCAGCACTTCCACCACACCTCAGCGGTGACCTCCTCTATGCCAGACCCGTTCAACCAGTCGCCACAAGTATCATCTCCGCAGGTTGCCGTTGCCAACTGCACTTTGGGTCAGGGCCTTTGGGGGTTATTTGAGAGGGGAGCCGGTTAGAGCAAAGTCAGGGCTGGGGAAGAAGGTTTCTCACAAGGTGGGTGTTGTGGGAAATGAGGACGGAAGGGATGGAAGCCAGACACACACACACCCCCCAGAGAAATACACAAGGCTTTGGCAGGTTCGAGCCAAGGGGATCAGATTGCTTCACACGTTGACACTTGGGTTGCCAGGTCTGGGTTGGAAAATACCTGGAGACCTTGGGGGTGGATCCGGGAGAAGGCGGGGTTTGGGAAGGGGAGGGGCCTCGGCACGGTACAATGCCACAGAGTCCACCCTTCAAAGCAGCCATTTTCTCCAGGGGAGCTGATCTCTGCCAGCTGGAGATCAGTTGTGAAAGCGGGGGATCCCCAGGCCCCACCTGGAGGTTGGCAACCCTAGTTAACACGTTTTCTCAACCGCTTTGGCCTAGGGAACGGCATGCGGTCCCAGCCTCTTTCAGGGATTCTACACCTGAGGGGATCATCGACACCCGTCACAGTCCACACACAGGGGATGTGACGGTCCCTATCTGGAAGCACTTTCCGTGGAGGAAACACATAACGTGTGACGCAGTAGAAGTCTGGATCTCTTGGGAGTCCGGGGGTGGTTTAGTAGGTTAGAACTCTGGGGGCGGGAGGGGCTGTGCCTTTCAGGATTTCTTTGGAAAGAGGGTGGGCCTCGGCAAGATCACCACGGAAACTGCTTTCAACAGACGCTGTGAGCCAGCTCTCCTTGACCCATTTGCACCCCACCTTCCTTCCAAGAAATGCCGGGTGGCACAGGCAGAAGTTATCCCATTTCGTCCTCACAGCCACCCTGTGAGCGAGGTTAAGCTAAGAGAGAACAGAGAAGAAGAGGAGAGATTGGATTTATAACCCACCCTTCACTACCCGAAGGAGTCTCAGAGCGGCTTACAAACTCCTTCCCCTTCCCCTCCCCACAACAGACACCCTGTGAGTAGGTGGGGCTGAGAGAGCTCTTGACAGAAACTGCTCTTTCTCAAGAACAGCTCTTATCAGAACTACGGCTGGCCCAAGGCCATCCAGCAGCTGCAAGTGGAGGAGTGGGGAATCAAACCCGGTCCTCCCAGATTAGAGTCCGCGCTCTTAACGACGACACCAAACTGGCTGAATGAGCCCCCCTGGCCTTCATGGTGGGCAAAGGCCTGTACCCAGGGGTCCTCCTGGGCCGACACTCCCTGTACCCCATGCTACCCACTACGCCTCTCACCTCCATGGCCTCGGTGTGCTCCTTGGCCAGCTCCTCATAGCGCCGACCCAGTTCCTCGTTCCGTTCCAGTAGCATCTTTCCCAGTTCGGCCGCCAGCATCAGATCCTGCTCCTTCCTCTGAAGCAAAACCCTCAGATCTGCGTCTTCGGGGTCTGCATCCCTAGCAGCCACATCGCCCACAAAAGACTGTCGACGTTCGCCCCCAAAGGGGTAGAACTCGTCCCCGAGAACAGGCGGGGTCAGAGGGAAAGGAGTCCGACGAGCTTCCTCCTCAGGGTACATAGAGGAAGCCGTGGTGGTTGACATGGGATTGCTTGCTGGGGGGGGGATACCGAAGGGCAGGGAGGCCCCGACTCGGAGGACAGAGAGGTGCCCAACAGGTTAGACTTGGGATAACCTGGGAGCTAGGGTGTTCAGGCTCACAGCACGGCTGCGGTTCCTAGAGGGTTGAAGTGGTGGTGGTGGGGAGACAGCTGGGATCTACTTCCCCGAGGGCCGATATCTTCTGCAAAGAGAGAGCAAGCCAGCAGTACCATCCAGGTTGGATACACTCTCGACTCTTAAGATCCAGGGAAGGCGATGTTGTCCCAGACTCCTGGGCTCCCTGCCGCTTCTTTTTTTCCAGTTGGGTTTTGCTGTTTATCTCCTACTTCCTGCCTCTGCCCTCGCAGGCTGTGTGACAGGTGGATTCTGCGGTCTCCTGGCGGCTCCTCCCTTGTTCACTCCCTCACCTGCCCTTCCAGTTCCCTCCCTCCTTCCCTCCCAGGAAATGTCTAACTTCTCAGTTCTTCCACTCCCCTTTATGCACACAGCCAACTGGCTCCTATTATTAGTAGCGGCCGTGTTTAAGGGTACAACGCTTTTCCTTTCGCATTGGTTTAATCAGCATAGCAGCCCTGAAAGGCTGGCCACGATGATTTGCTCCATATTACAGTTGGAAGGAGAGCAGTCAGGGTTTGTCTATGAATCTGGGGGCTGGGCTAGGATTTGAACCCGCTGCTCAGCGCTCACACGAGTATACTGTACTGATTACAGTGTTCGATCGGGATCTAGGAGACCTGGGTTCCAATGCCCACACTGCCAAGTAACTCACACTCTTCGCCAAGTAACAAACATTTCAATACTAAAATCCTTCACTGGGTTGTTGTAAGGATAAAATGAGGGAAACCATGTGGACCATCCAGAGCTCTTGGAAGAAGGACGGGATAAAAATGTGCACCAGACAGACAGCGATGCCACTCCAGTTCTCGAGTCCAGTAGATTTCATTCTCTTCCCAGCAACCCTGGCCCCAATCTTCCCTTCCCCTAAAACAAGGCTTTAAGAATTAGGGCAGGTTAAAATACCACATAAGTGGAAGGCACATAAGTGGAAGGCACAGAGCCTTCCAAGAATTTACTGAGTGAATTAAAAATAAAAGCTATTTGCAAACCGGGCATGGGCAGAGGGAATGGGGGGCATTTTCCTGATTATATCTCTTTAAATTTTTCAAAACATGCCTGTGAATTCCACAGAACTACACTCCCCATAGCAATCACAATGAATATGCAAGCTTGAATGCTGGGAAATCACTCTATGGCTGCAATAAATCCACAGCTTTTAGGGAAGACGCACGGACTACATGACAGGCAAATGCAGAAACATTTTATTACACAAAACATTTATTGTACAGAGGCCTCCGTCTGTGGGGTGTGAGGGTTTCATTTACTTTATTTGTTTAAAACATTTTTGTGCCGCTTTTCCATCTAAATAGGGTCTCCAAGGCAGCAAACATCAAAACATTTCAATACTAAAAGCATATAAAATATATGTGATATAATTCAATAAAAACATATAAGGAAGGCCAATAACAGTTACTGGAGGTATGCCAAACAAAAAAGACTTTGCCCGCTGGTGGAAGACAACAATAGAGGGAGACAGGTTAATCTCCCCAGGGAGGGAGTTCCAAAGTTTTGAGGCCACTACTGAGAAGACCCTTTCTCGGGATGTTACTTGTCCGACAGAAGCCCCCAAAGCAGGACCTCCACGGATGACCAGAGTGGACGGGTAGGCTCATATGGGAGAAAGGAGTCCTTGAGGTATGCTGGGACCCAAGCCGTACAGGGCTTTACCATGTGGAGGGTATCCTCCTCCCCCCTTTCCAGACTCAAAACATATTTTTATTTATTTTTTTGAACAGTTCCCCCCCCCCAACCCTTAACCAAAGACTGATTCCTGAGGAGGCTTATAATAAAGTGGGGGGTAGATGTTGCCCGGCAGAGATGGGGAAATATCGTTCCTGGCGCTCAGGCTATTAATAACGCTGGCCGCCATCTTGGGGAGTTTTAGAGATTCGTAGAGCACCTTTTTATTGTATGCAATAATGTTTTACTGTATGTTTTACTGTATTTTACTTTTAATCCGGCATTGCCGCCTGTTAGCCGCCCTGAGCCGCTTGGGTAGGGTGGGATATAAATCCCAAAAATAAAATAAATAAATAAAAGTACAAACACACAGCATCACAGCGTAATAAAATTCAATAACTAAAACCCACTGGAATCCCCCTATATGGATATTTCTCGTGTGTACCTCTGTCTTTAGTCAGCTTATTGGCTCTACACACTACATATTGTTATTAAACAGTTATATGGTCTGCATAATTGTTACACACATCAAAGGTACAAATACCTTCTTTTCTTTTCTTTTTAAAAAAAGCATGTTTGTAAACGTTTGACGAAATCTTACTACAGTTATTACGAGTCACTTAAAAGCGACCACAACATGCATTCTTAAAATGCCACCTTATCATGTACACATCCATGCGTGGGCCTGATAGAACCCAGGAGTCCTGGCTCAATGTCTCCGATTACAACAGGTGAGGGTTATATATGGAACCCTGAGATGCGCTTCCCCTAGTCCCTATGGCACAGTGCCCCCTAGAGGAGACATGAGCCCTGCTATCCATTTCCTGGACCTCCCACCCGTTCGTTCCACCCACTAAAGCTTTAACCAGACAAGACGTATTAAACACACGCATCAAAACATACCTGATCAATATGCAGGGCTCCAGACTTCCCATTCCTCTTCCTCTAGGGAGAAGATGTGGAAGAAAGACAGAACGTCAATGAGCATATCGCCAAGAGAAATACGTGCTGCGGTGTGAGGAGGAGAAGACACATACAGGCCTCTCTGCTTTTTAAATGCAGAGTCAGAGGCCGGGATCGTACACCACGTTTCGCTTCCTCCTGGGGTTGTCAACTGACTCTATTAACAATGCCTGCTCTGTTCCTTTGCTTAACAGGAGCCTGATCAGCAGCAATCAGCAAGGGGAGATTTTCACAACATGATGGAAATGACATTATTACCTGCTAAGGTCTGAGGATCAAGTTGTTGCTGTTTTTGGTAAAAAGCCATCTTTGTTTTCTGCGTCAGGGGCTTTCCTCATATCTGTGGCATATTTAAAACCTAGCAATTCCGTATTCAGTAATATTGAGCGCCTAGGGCTTTCGACTTTGCAACGGGTAATTGCAAGCATGCCTTTAACGGCTCCTCGGTCTGCAGACATTAATTTGCATCCACATCCTATGGAAAACTTGCTCTTTTTTTTCCACACATCAGACACAAAAGATTGTAAACTTGTGAAGCAGCCCATCAGTCCCATCAGGGTCGGTGTGTCGTCTACTCAGACCGGCAGTAGCTCTCCTGGGTCTCAGTAGATCTTTCACATCACCCACTACCTGGCCGTTTTAACTGGAGATGCCAGGGATTGGCCCTGGAACCTTCTGCATGCCAAGCAGAGGCTTTTCCACTGAGCCACAGCCCCTCCTTGAAAATACGCCAAGATGGGGTGGGTGAAACCTTATGTGTGGAGGAGGCTCCAACCAAGCCTCCACCCAGGATGGGGAGGGCTGGTCATCTGGTAACCCAGAATGCATACACTATTGTAAAAAGGTAAAGGTTCCCTTGCTCAAAAGCCAGTCAAATTCGACTCTCGGGTTGCGGTGCTCATCTCCGTTTCAAAGCCGAAGAGCCAGCGCTGTCCGAAGACGTTTCCGTGGCCATGTGGCTGGCATGACTAAACACCAAGGCGCATGGAACGCTGTGACCTTCCCACTGAAGTGGTCCCTATTTATCTCCTTGCAATTTCTTGCTTTCGAACTGCTAGGTTGGCAGGAGCTGGAACTAGAGACGGGAGCTCACTCTGTCATGCGGCAACCGGGGTCTTAAACTGCTGAACTACCAAAAACCCAACACTTCCCCCAAATTTGACAGGAGGGTCAAACAAACCAAATTAATAGGAAAATGTTCTCCCAGATGTTGCCTCTAAAGGTGAAAACCTCTCATCAGAACCACGGAATAATGTACATTTTTAAGAATGGGGAGGAGGGGGATATCGTTCCTAAAGGTAAAGGTAAAGGTTCCCTTGCTCAAAAGCCAGTCGAGTCCGACTCTAGGGTTGCGGTGCTCATCTCCGTTTCAAAGCCGAAGAGCCGGCGCTGTCCGAAGACATTTCCGTGGTCATGTAGCCGGCATGACTAAACACCAAGGCGCACGGAACGCTGTTACCTTCCCACCGAAGTGGTACCTATTTATCTCCTTGCAATTTCTTGCTTTCGAACTGCTAGGTTGGCAGGAGCTGGAACTAGAGACGGGAGCTCACTCCGTCATGCAGCACACTCAGGTCTCGAACTGCTGAACTACCGACCTTCCACAGCCTGCAGTTCAGCGTCTTAACCACTTGAGCCACCGCAGCTCCTATATCATTCCTACTGCTGCCCTAAAACAGACAGTAGACTGTGTTTGGCAGGTGGTGAAGATCGGGTCAGGGTTGTATACAGCCACTTGAGGCGCAATAGTTTCCTCCAGGTCACTGGGCAGAAGCCCTGTCCTGGATGGCCTAGGCTAGCCTGATCTTGTCAGATCTCAGAAGCTAAGCAGGGTCGGCCCTGGTTAGTACTTGGATGGGAGACCTCCAAGGAAGTCCAGGGTTTCTCTGCAGAGGCAGGCAATGGCAAACCTTCTCTGTAACACCTCTTGGCTTAGAAACCCTACAGTGTCTCAACTGTGACTCAATGGCACTTTCTTCTACCACCACTAACTGTGCAGGGAGTTATTAAAGGTAAAGGTTCCCTTGCTCGAAAGCCAGTCGAATCCGACTCTAGGGTTGCGGTGCTCATCTCTGTTTCAAAGCCGTAGAGCCAGCGCTGTCCGAAGACGTTTCCGTGGTCATGTGGCCGGCATGACTAAACACCAAGGCGCACGGAACGCTGTGACCTTCCCACCGAAGTGGTACCTATTTATCTACTTGCAATTTCTTGCTTTCGAACTGCTAGCTGGAACTAGAG